ACATTCTCCAGTCACGTCGTAACCTTTCTACTATTGCATGAGTGGGGGCAAGTCTTATCATACTTTGTACTTCAGAAACTCTGCTTGTTTATATCTCGGGCTAGCCACACAGAGGTACTGTTCTTGGAAGAGCCCCGCAATGCCTTTCAGTTTCATCTGTACTGCATTCTGAATCGGTGTAATTTATGAGCGGCCTCTCAATTTCGGCTTCTTCCATGCGAAATGGGGCCATGGTGGATAGTTGAAATTGCGATGTTTTATAAGTGATACAATTAGAATTGTCCTTCAGAAACCCTGACTGTGCATATCTCGAACTAACCACACAGAGGTACTGTTCTCGGCATAACCCTGCACTACCAGAACGTTCTAGCCTAGCGCGTTGTGTTGTGAATAAAACATTGCAATTTAAACTAGCCAGCATGGCCTCATTTCACTTGAAAGAAGCCAAAATTGAGAAGCAGCTGATTATTGACACTGATTCAGACTGTGGTACAGAAGATTCTGAGAGTGGCGAGGAAACAACGGGCTCAGAACCCGAAGTCGGCGAAGACCCATCATCTTTGTTGGCAACCTGGGGACCACCAGCCCAGCATGGCAGGAGGGTTGTGAATAATTATTCCGGTGGAGCTGTGGGGTTAAATATCAATGAAGTTCCACACGTAAATAAGGATTCGGCCCCACTCTGCATTCTCATGCTCTACTTCGCAGGGATTATCCATCTGCTGATGGAAGAGACAAGCAGGTACTACCACCAGTACCTAGACAGACTTCAAGACGGACCTTCTCCACGGCCTGATGTTACCGATTCCGAGATGTTTTAATTTCTAGAAATACAAGGTGCGGCAATAAAGAAACCAGATTCATGCTCTAACCCTTTATTGAAAAAAAATCAGACAATTGAAATGTTATCCCCTTCAATGTAGTCCCCTCCCCGATCCCTACACTGCTCCATGCGAATTTTCCAATGTCGGAAGCAGTGCTGCAGGTCATCTTGTGTTATGCTCTTCAAGAGTTGCGTCGCTTTTGCTTTCACTGCATCCACAGACTCGAACCTGGTCCCTTTGAGCGCAGACTTGATTTTTGGGAAGAGAAAAAAGTCGCACAGTGGTAGGTCCGGAGAATACAATGGATATTCCATCACTGGAATGTTGTTTTTTGCCAAATACCTCTTCACAGATAGCGCGTTGTGTGCTGGCGCGTTGTCGTGATGAAGAACCCATGAGGCATTCTTCCACATGTCTGGTCTCCTTCGTCGCACACGTTCACGGAGGTACGTCAAAACATTTTTATAATAAACCTGATTGACAGTCTGACCTTCAGGCACCCAATCAATGTAGATTACCCCCCGGATATCGAAAAAAACAATCATCATTGCTTTGAATTTGGACTTGCTCATGCGCGCTTTCTTCTTCCTAGGGGATTTGGGGCTCTTCCAATGCATGGATTGTCGCTTAGTCTCTGGATCATATTGAAGAATCCAAGTTTCGTCACACGTAATTATGTTTTGAAAGAAATCAGGATCATTTTCAGTGTTTTCAAGAGTGTCAACATAGCAATTCACTCGATGTTCCCTTTGCTGGGGGGTAAGGATTTTTGGCACCACTTTAGCACACACCTTTTTCATGCCCAGATCATCATGCAAAATCTGTCTAACACTTTCCTTATTGATGATGGTAAGTTCAGAAAGTGCTCGAATGCTCAGTCGACGATCTCTTCGAACAATTCTAGCGACCTTCTCCACATTCTCTGGAGTTTTCGCAGTGGAAGGACGGCCCGATTTTGGATCGTTCCCAACGTTTTTCCTACCCTCCATAAACTTCTTAAACCACTCGAAAACTTGCGTGCGAGATAGACACTGATCATCATTTACTTCTGTCAACAAATTGTAAGTTTCAGTGGCAGATTTTCCAAGTTTTGTGAGGAATTTGATGTTAACATGTTGTTCTACATTAGCACTCAGCATTATTCCGACGGAGCTCAGACACACGATCCGCTTCTAACAATGGTCGCGGCCAGACTAACCAATGCGTGTGAATGAAACTTTGTGTGACAGTAGAGGGAAGTCCACGGGTCAATGCCCTACCCTCCTCTTCGTCATCGACGTGGCCGGAAATGAGTCATAAAAGTAATCCGGTTTCTTTATTGCCGCACCTTGTAATCATTCAAATGGGACATGACATTAGAGACAGACTAAAGGACAACTGGTCGACTGTAGAACAATTTGCCAAGCCTTTCTACTCTAACACAATGAAACGCAACATTTTTCTACACATTATTCATTTTCTTCATTTTGCAGACAGCAATACAGAAACTGACAGGAATGCCAACAGTTATGACCGAGTATGGAAAATTCGGACCATCTTCGACACTCTCATTAACGCATACAAAAAAATATTATAACCCTTCCGAACATTTGGCCATAGACGAGATAACTGTTAAATTCAAAGGGAGAGTGGTTTTTAGGCAGTACATTCCTAAGAAACACAAACGTGTCGAAAACAAAATCTTCAGAATTTGTGATGCCACTGGGTATACTTATAACATGAAGGTTTACCTAGGAAAAGACAGGACACGTATCAACCAAGACGTGACAGTGACACATGCTACAGTTAGGGACCTATGCAGACATATTGAGGGCATAGGTCACAAACTGTACATGGATAATTTCTTTTTGTCACCAGACTTGTTTGACAAACTGATGACAAAGGACATAACATGCTGTGGGACAGTCAGATCTAATCGGAAGGGCTTTTCGATTTTCGATGAAGACAATTTCGACTGAAGAAAGGTGACATCCATGTTCGGGTGAGACGGAACTTGACAGCACTAGCTTCGAAGGACATATGTGACGTTTATGTACTGACAAACATGCACTGTCCTCCAGCAGAAGGCAGTTTCTGTGATGAGCATGGAAATGCCATCAAGCCAGCAATTGTTGTTGACTACAACATGCACATGGGTTATGTCGACAAAGAGGACAGAATGGCAAACGGTTATAGCATCAGTCGTCGGACCTGGAAGTGGACAAATAAACTATTTTTCCATCTCCTGGATCTGACGATTCTGAACAGTTTCATCCTGTTGTCATCCTGTGGCGCGAAATTGTCACACAGAGAATTTCGTCTCGCCCTTGTGCACAACACGCTGGAACATGCTGCAAGGGGTCCACCTCACCCTCAAAGGTTCATGGGTCGACCTCCTGCTGTGTCATCTGCGATATCTCGATTAGAGGAGGCCACTCGACATCACTGGCCAACTTCCTCTAATAAGAGACTGAGGTGTCATGTGTGCTCTTCACGTGGGAAATGGAGTTACATACGGACAAAGTGCACGAAGTGCGACATTGGACTCTGCATTTCCAGATGTTTCCAACAGTACCACACAAAGGCAACATTCAGTTAGATGACGCAGTAGGGAAGACTGTGTACTTATAAAGCTGGTGTCCAAAAATAATGTAAGTAGAACAAGAATTTCTACCTTATAATTACATTTTAAAACACTGTGTGCATGCGTGGACTGCACGTACCCATACGGTGTCGCATGGCCACTTGGCTATACTTTAAAGGTCCCCATATGGTATTGCTAGGCTCTTAAAGGATAAAGAAGTACATCTGTTCCTAGTCTGGAAAAAAATGTGAACTTCTGAGGCTGACGGCTGTTGGCAAATATGTTTTTTCTCCTCATAGTCAAGAAAGATGAGAGATTTTAAAACACACAGCACACAAAAAATGCTACAAGGATTTTCCATCAGGTAGTTCTATGGCAGGTCTTGGAAGTCAAAAGATTAAACTTTAAGTCACAGAGAACTAGAAGTTATATGATACCAAATTCAGAAATACAGAAAAGAACTGTTTCAAATTGCTGTTTAAAAGTGAAGTACTTACTTGCTTTCGCATCATACTCCTTTCAAATTTTCACTATTCAATTATCCTATACTTAACATGTTTGATTTCCTGTCACTAGGTGTTTTCCTTGTTGAATAAAATAATATAAAACTGAATGGTGCATTAATTGGCATGACTGTAAAAACACATTCAACACTGTGTTGCATTGAGACCCATTTGTACTGTTTTTAAGTGTGCTGAAAAAGTTTGTGACACTTTCTCTATAACTTAATAATAAATGTAAAATTCATTCTGCAGATCTTATGGACATAAGGACTATGTGAGCGATTTAAAGGAGTCAAAATTAATAAGCATGGTAACAACTATTACTGCAACAACTTGCATTAAAATCATATGAATTTATGTACAACTGTACTGATTTCTGTTTCTGTTTTCATTTAAAGTGTTTTCTTTCACTCATGTAGTAACTATCTTGTTTATACAGTTACGTGTATCATTTCCATAGAATAACACTTGGCTCAGAATTTTAGGAGAGGCTTACTGTTGTAAGAGATGTTCTCTAACCTCACTCTGAAATTACATAAAATATGAGGGAGAGTCAGTAAACAGGTAACAAATGGGTATGAAACATAAAACATGTGATATTCAAACCTGGAAAAAACATTTGTTTCTCAACATATCCTCCATCAACACTGATACACTTGCCCATCGCTTTACCAGTGCATCAAAACCCACAGCCTAGAAGTCTTCTGACTGTTATCTCGGCCACTTCCGCACTTCTGTTTCAACCTCATCATCATTGAAACATTTCCCACCCAGTTGTCAACAAGTTTACACAACTGACAGCTCCCATCATAAACAAGAAAAATATTCTTATGAATATCCTTTGCATCAAGTCCTTTTGCACACAAAAAAAAACGCACAATAGAACATTGCTCTTCGTTAGTGCACTCCTCGAGCATGGTCACCATTTTGACTACTGAAACCAGCCTCTGAACATGCGCATGTGCATCTGCTACCTAGACCATCATGAAGATGGACTGTGCTGCTACCTAGTGACACACATAGAAAACCTACTGTGTCCACTACAGCTGTTTTACTTACACTTGTAACCAATTTACTGACTCTCTCTCATACTTCATGAATCACCTTATCCTAACAAAAATTAGTCTTTAAAAATGTATCAGAATTAGTCTGCACAATCACAAGATCCATACTTTGGTAACAAATTTGTGTTATTTCCACTCCCATCCAAAGAAAACTATTTTCATAGCTGCTTCACGTTGATCTTCATCAGCCATATCTCATGCAGGTTACATTTGTATATTCCAATGCATCATCCAGTTCCATATTTTCTTCACAGCCAACACAACTAGATTTCACACCTGGAAGTAAATAACCGGAAAATACTTTTTATGTTGGACTTTTCATTCTCACAGCGGGGATTATGAAGACTTCTATCTCCTGGGATATAACACTGTGCAGTCCTGTGGAAGTCAGCCAACATTTCAAAAAGATACGTCTTCTTTGCTGCCTGTTTCATGCTGATTTCTTTCTTGGCTTACTGTTTGATCCCCAAGAAGGAGGTGATACATTCCTCCAAAATATCAAGTGACTTTCACTGGACTGCATGGCATTATATCCCAGAGGGCAGAACTCTTCAATTGTTCTTATAATGGTAAAGATGTCCCTATGCTTAACTAATTAAGCACTACATCATGAAAATGTATGGGGGAGTGGATGTACAGATCCACATTTTCTTGACCTCGGCACTAGTTGGAGGTGAGTGTTCAGCTTTACACCCTGACCACTTTACTCCCAGGAAAGAGCTCCCAGTACCCACTGTATAGGAGGTTGGGTGAATCCCAGAGCTGGTCTGGATGACTGAAATTTCTTAACTCTACCGGGACTTGAACTCCAACCCCTCAGTCATCCAGCCCATAGCCAGTCGCTATACTGATTACACTATCCCAGCTCCTAAACTGTTCTTATATTTTCCATAATTAAAAAAACTGTGGACCAAGCAACATTTGCAAGAAGTACAGAACAAATATATGCATATTTAAGAATTTGTAAATTCTGTGCATTATTTAAAAAACTTATAGTATTAGTACCAGATATGTTTATGAGATAAGTGAAAATCAGTGTATTAAGAACTTGCTAGTTCCAAATATTTTTCGTTTAGTTTTCAGCAGATACCATGACTGATTCCTGGATTGTGAACTGGTTATCCTGTAACTTTTCAAGATATTCAACTGCCTGTCTTGGTAAATGTATGGCTATTGATTTAAAAGAGGCAATTACAATTTCATGGAACAGTCCTTTTACTCACCGTTCACTTTAATTTTGACAATTCTCACTGACCTCTGCACCTGTCATAGGATTATTGAATAGTTTAAGAATAACAGAATGTTATCTGAAAACATAGATCTTGAAAACATCACCCCTTCAAATCCTCATTTACTGCTATAAAAAGGATCTACATCCTCAGTAATGGTGAATGACTAAAGGCTTTACTCCCAGAGATTGTTTCCCTTGCTACCACACCCAGACCATCTCTGCAATCCATCCAGCAACCTGTTCAGTAGCTATAAGGTCCTCTCTCCCTCAGGGTAAAGGCAGCCAGACAGGGAAACTGGGTGGGAGGTGGGTGGGTGGGTGAGGGAGTGATGACCATTTCTCCCTCTTGACTCTAATGCCAATCACTATGTTTACATATTTCTCTATTTCTCTTCCTGAAGAGCCCAAACAGGTATAGCTTGTAGAATCTGAAGTTCTGACAAGAGTGGTTAAGAAGAATCTTATCTTCCAGCATATAACACCATGTAGTCTGTTGACTTTCAAGAGATTACACAGCATTATGCCAACTTCAGCGGATAGGGGGTGTCGCATGGTCAGCGCAATGAATTCCCATGGCCGTTAATCTCAGTTTTCTAGACCGGAGCCACTATTTTTTTAATTTTTAAATTTTTTAAAAATTTGGAAAAAGAAAAAGAACAGAAATTTTATAGACATTTTAACTTGAATCAAAGTTTTAATAAAAGTGCCCATTTTAGAAATCAAATTAACGCGTGTAGGTTAACAAAGATTTTATACATACAATTAGAAAGACTGGTGATTTTAAATTTTAAACTATGGGCAGTGTAGCAGCTACGTAAGAATTCACACCTGATGATGGCCATTTAGGGCCGAAACATGTAGTGTGGAGGAGGGAAAGAAGTAAGAACTACAATTAAATTGTTGCACTTAAGACGGTGTTTGTCTCATATATATTGTGTGAGTGTAACAGGATGCTCAAATATAATATTTCTCTATCCATTAGAATTATATGTCATATAAGGAATGGTGTGATTTATACAGGCTACATACAAGAAGTCTTATATTTACTCTTGGTACATTACAGCACCAAAATCTGTGTCAGAATACCAAAGTAATTCTATGAAAGATGAAAATAGCCTTTATCGACATGGAGAGGGTGTAAAGAAATACAAGGCAATGATGCATTATTTACAATATGGGAATGTTGTGGTCATTTAAGACTTGTGTCCAACTATTAAGCTTGCTTAATCATCACGGCAAGCAGTAGCTTAGTGGTTGAGGAGCTATGCTTCAAGCCGGAAGGTCGTAGGTTCAAGTCCCGATGAGGTCACCGAATGTTTTCCAGTTGACCTAATCCTTCCAGCTGCACTAGGCCCTGGGGTTTACTCAGCCTCTACCAGAAATGAGTACCAGGAATTAATTAAATAGTTTTCCTGGGGAGTAAAGCGCGGCCGGCGCGTAAGGCTGACAACCTTACCGCCATCTTTGAGCCGATTGTCTAGATAATGTGGGACCCTCAACGTCTCACAACCCTATGGGCCTTCATGACCTGTCACACGGATAGCTTTACTTTTACTTTACATATGAAGTAAAGTTTAAAATTATGCACCTCAATAGTGGTCTAATCAGACTGGACTAAACAAATGTGAAGTAATCACATTTGTTAACTTCACAGAAAATATTGACAGATCATTTCCAACGGCTTTCTTTTCCTATAAGTTTGTGTCTGTACACTGAACTCCATCCTCTGAAAAAAAAAATGTAACCAAAATGAGAGAAAGGATCATATTTCATTTCAGCAATACATATTAGGTGGAAATGGAATTTTAAAGAAACTTACAGATTCCATTACAAGGAGACACTCAAATATAAAAGTAGTTTTCATAATCTGCATATGATGACAAATTACTCAAACTTTTAGTGGGTGTCTCATTTTGCAGGGAGCTCTGTTGTGACGTGGCCGGTTGGCTCTGTCGAGAGGAGCAAGGGATAGATGGCAGCTCCGGAGTCCATGGACCCTGTAAGAGTGGGGGGAAAGTATTAGAAAACATGTAATGTGAACTGCATCATATAATTCGGCAAAAGGTTCATCTGAAGTTCAGGCATGCTCCAGGTTAGCCCGCAAGAGGTCACAAACTGTGTACAGTAGCAGTTCGGGCTTCATATCCCAACAAGTGAATCCTGAATGCTGATATGTAAAATTACCACTATGAAACAAGACAAAGAGAAGAAGAAGAGGAGGAGGAGAGACAATGGGGATGGTAGTAGTAGTAGTAGTAGTAGTAGTAGCAGCAGCACTAGCAACAATAAGCTACAATTGCTTTTGTCTTCTTTATCATAGCTTTGAGATGCAACTTTAATGTACTAACAACATAACAAAAAACACAAGCCCAATCTCAAAATATGCTTTATACTACTTCCAATCCCCAGTATTACTGAACGGATGGAATGAAGGTTATTAACAACCCTACATCAACAGCAGGTTTTATTTAGCATTGACTGATAAGAGGATAATCCTGTTTTGGGAAACTTAAGGGAGAGAGTGGAAGTGGCCATGGCCTTATTCAAGGTACTCTCCTGGAACTCACCAAGAGGGAACGATAAAACCACACAAAACCACAACCCATCTTCATGAGCCAGTCTGTCCTAAGAACATGGTGAAAGGGGGCAACTGCCCAGGGTCCCTGTGCTCAGTATCATGTCAAGATGTATCCTGAGTAATATGCGGGTTTGGTAATCTCAATTCATGAGCACTTAATACATCTACAGGGCCATGTCATAGCTAAGGCAGTCACTAGCACACCATCACAGAGGCTGTGTACTGGGACAGGTTTCTTTCCCTCTCTCCAAGCACTTTGGTTCTCCCATACCAAGTATCATTTTACCAATGCTCCATACTCATCTATCATACATGGCTGGTACAGTACGCCCATCTAAGGTCACAGTACCAAAAGATCCCACTTATAAATAATAATAATAAAAAAAACGGCCTATGTGCCTTGCTGATAGGGTTCTGGTAAACCCAGAGCTTCACTTTTCTGCAAGGCCTGGGTGCTTAAGTACCTGCACACCTTTTGCCATTGACTTTCGTTATGCCACCTGCACATCCTTACCTTTCTGTAAGCCTTTGGCTGTGGTACCCATCAGCCTAATCTTCCTGTTAGACGCTGGCTGGGTTACCTGCACTATCTATAAGCCCTTGGCTGTTGTGCCTGTGCAACCTTACAGTTTTGCAAGGCTCTGCCTGTGGTTCACATACACCCTTACCTCCCTCTATGGCTCTGGCTATAGAACCTGCAGACCCATCTTTCTGTAATGCATGGGCTATGACGTCCATTATCTCCATGGTTTGGGGAACCTGTGAATCTTTACCTTTCTACGAGGCCTGAAGTCAAGGTTACGTCTGATGAGGAAGTGGAACTCATTTGGGCTGGTCCAGCAGTGTTGCACACTGAGAGGGCAGTCATCAGGGTGCAATTTGCGTTGGTACTCCTGACTACGGCACACCTCATACAGAGAGAACTGTTCCACGCGTTCCTTACTGTTGTAGCAATTCAGAAGGATCTGTATCAGCTCATCCACTGTTGTGCGGTCTGAGATCAGCAGGCTCTTATACTGGGACTAAGGCAGAAGAGGTGGACATCACATGCATGTCATAGAAACTGCACTTTCTCTGGGCTCAAGCAGCAAATGATCACCATCATGACAATGTTTTGTTTTACTGTTTGATTGTGGGCTATCAAAACTCTTTTGAAAATGGACCATAAATCTTGATGACACTAATTTAAGCCGGTTTTGCCCTTATAAATTTGCATAAAATAAAAAACCTCCGTGATTTTAGTCCGCAAGTGGACTATACCGACCGAGCGACCGCCACTTGTCGGCGAAGTTAGTGCCAACTTTAAGAGGATAGAGAGTGTCGCTTGGTCAGCGTAACAAATTCCCACGGCTGTTAATTTCCGTTTTCTAGACCGGAGCCGCTACTTCCTTGAAATAGTTCCTCAATTATTCTCACAAGGCTGAGTGAACCCCGTTCCAGACCCACTACTCCTCAGAAAATCTGGTAGCGCCGGGAATCGAACCCGGACCTCTGGATCTGTAGCCAAGAACTCTGATCACTAGACCACAGAGGCGGCCGATTTGCATAAAATACTTTACAAAATTCTTTAAATATATTCCTGAACCCTGGTTCCTACTATTATATACTCAACACACCCATTTTAACAGACAAGAACAAATACATATTTTAATTCCCTTCCACTGAAATTTGCAGCCCAGAAATTCTTAAACATCAAGGGGGGCACACAATTTTTGGAACATGCTCCTGAAAAATCAGTTTTATTCTCTATTATTTTTCTTATGGATTTTGTGGTAGACAGTGTGGAACTGGGGCAGGTTTTCTCCGAGTACTTCGGTTTCCCCTGCCCATTCTCATTCCATCAACTGCTCCACATTCATCATCATCATCATCATCATCATCATCATCATCATCATCTACCATCCGGGGCCGGTACAATAGGCAACTTAGTGACTGACGTACCAGTCTCACGACACCACAATAAACTAAAGAAGATATTGAGAACACTGTGATACATAGGCTATAGAAAGCATACACTTTATTCCAAACAAAACATCACAGCTCTTATCGAAAGAAGAAAAAAAATCATTCTCTTTCCACATACTTCCAGTTTTGGTGGTAGGCAGTGCATTGGTAGCCACAACACAACGCCACTGGAGAAGAAGGAGGAGGAGGGAGGAGGGAAAGTTGTTTTCAATTTGAGTGACTTTTTCAAAAAGCACGGGATGTCAAAGAGTAAAATGATTAATGATGAATTGGAAACGATGTAGAAGTAAGCGGTCCTGGCCAATTTTAAACTACTGTCCCGGCATTTGTGTGGAAAGACTGAGGAAAACCACAAAAAAACCCTCAGCCAATATAATCAGTGACCGGACCGAGATTCGAACTGGGAACGTTCCGAATACAAGTCAGAAAGCATCACAGCCTGAGACAGCTTTCACGGTAGTTGCGTTCCTCAGGAGAGGAAACCCGAGAGCAGGTAGTTGCTTCTCACCCCAGACATCAGGACGCTGTCGTAGATCTTAACGAGGCCACCGCGTCGCGTCTGCAGCAAGAAACGGGAGTCACCGCGCGGGTGGCAGGACTGCAGCACCGCGGGACGGGCGTCCTCGTCCAGCACCAGAACAGTTCGCACTCCTGCAACACAGGACACGGGCGCTCACTACATGTAAATAAAATTACCATATCACTTCACGCAAAGTCCATGTTACTGTACAATTTTATGGTTTTATTGTTATATTATTAGAAGAAAAATATAAAATGACAACAGTGGGATAAGGCTCGTTCTTTTGATGCTGAGGTCTCACATCAGCCAATTGCACGCTTAGATTCTAAAGGGTTCTGACGATGGTGGATGACAAACAGAATTGCTGGGGTTTTGGACTTTCCCATCGTCCGAAATTCTAGATAATATGGGACACGACATTTCGGAAACTGGATCTGTTTCCGTCTTCAGGTGAGAAACGAAGACACCTACTCAGTTGGGCCCCTTAGAAAGAGCTGAGAAAGTGTCTTCCTTTCTCGCCTGGAGACAGAAACAGATCCCGTTTCCGAGAAATCGTGTCCTCTGTTACCTAGAATTCCGGACTATGGAAAATGTCCAAAACCCCAGTAATTCTATTGCACGAGCCCTGACGGGTATGAGGCTTATGAAGCACTGGTGAAATGAGTGGCAAGATAAAACTGTACCTACTTACTTACTTACTCATGGAACTGAGCCCTTCTTGAGAAGCCGCCAATTGTGCAGCCACTCAAGAATTTCCCAGCATTTTATGGAACCCGAAGGTTCATTACCGTGTTCATAAGAACCCTCCACTAGTCCCTACCATGAGCCAGATCAATCCAATCCATACCATCCCATCCTATCTCTCTAAGATCCATTTTATATTGTTCACGCACCTATGCCCTGATCTTCCCGGTGGTCGCTTTCCTTCTAGCTTTCCCACCAATATCCTATACGCATTCCTCGTCCCCTCCATTCGTGCTACATGCCCTGCCCACCCCACCCTCCTTGACTTTATCATTCTAATTACACTTGGAGAAGAGTACAAGTTATGAAGCTCCTCAATATGCAGTTTTCTCCAACCTCCTGTCACTTCATCTCTCTTCGGTCCAAATATTCTCCTCAACACCGTGTTCTCAAACACCCTCAGTCGATGTTCCTCCCTTAAAGTCAGAGACCAAGTTCCACACCCATACAGCACCACCGGAAAAATTATAGATTGTGTATTCTAATTTTAAAGTTTTGGGACAGCAGACGAGAAGACAAAAGGTTCTGGACTGAATGGTAGCAAGCATTACCCGAGTTCAATCTCCTCTTAATTTCGTCCTGGATCAACAAAACGAAAATTATTGCAATATGACATTATGTTATAAACTTGTACAGCCATTTAGAAACAAATTAAAAAATGGCTTCACAAATGTCAAAAAAGACTGACGCTATCGTGGCAGACGCCAGTTCCAACCCCGTCCACACCAAAGCTCGGCACTGAGTGAGTAATATCCATCCTACTTTCTTCTCCCATCTCCCAACCTACATCACAAACATTAATCCTACTGAATGGTTTCTTCATCTTCTACATCTATACGCGGCCCCTTTTCAAGGCACTTCCCCGACAAAATTCTGTATGTATTCCCTGCTCTTTCCATTATATTTACATGTCCAGTCCATAGTAGCCTCCTACATATCAGTGCCCAAACTATACTGTCCCTTGTGTAAGTCATTTCCTAACATTCTAAACCTCCCTTCCCAGATCCAAACGTTTTCCAGAACACTTGCAAAGATCACATATCACACGGGCACAAAGCAATTTAGGCGGCTGTGATACTGCCCCATTATCTTCGTTCGCCCCACCCTTACCAGCTTTTCTGACAGTGACCTCCATGGTGAGGTAGAAGAGGTTGGGGTCCCGGTGGCGCATCCGGTACTTGTTGAGTAGAGACGTCACCACCTCGCGACAGGACGTCTGGAACGTGATGCTGAGGGTTTTGTACTCGATGTCAGGGCGCAAACATCGGGCGTACACCTTGATGGTCGTCTGCAAGCATAAACACCAGCTGCTGTAGGAAAATTCGTACGAATTGTTTACCTGTAGTTAGCCAACCTCATGTATCCGCTACGAAAGGAGCTACACGCATGCTGTGCCCCTAGTTTAAAATTGCAGTACATGAAAGCCGCATTAGAGGCTGCTTTTGGTACCTGAAAATTAATAAAACAAATACACACAGAGAGGAAATAAAAAATAAAACTTAAGATTATAAAGACGGAAGGGAAACGAATAGCGATGGAAGTAAGAAAGACGGTAACACAGGAAGGACGAATTAGAGAGAGAAGGAACTGAAGGGAGAAAGTAAAGAACGAGAAACATAAAAACGAGAAATGGAGTACAGGAGGAGGGGATAATGAGAAAAGGAAGAATGAAAAGGGGACAGGAAATAAGAAACAAATAAATGAAAAATTAAATCAATAAAGGAGGAATTAAAAAGAAAACGTAGACAGCAAAATACTGGAAAGAATTAAAGAAACAAACACTAGAATGAAATGGAGAAATAAGATAGGGAAAAAAAAATTAAGAAAGGCGTAATTAAAGAATGGAACACAACTGGCAGAAAAGAAAAGCTAGGAAAAGGTGACTGGGAAAGGGAATATAGAAAAAAAGTGGCCTGTAGTCCGCAAGCGAACTATACCGACCGAGCGACCGCCGCTTGTCGGCGCAGTTAGTGCCAACTTTAGCGGATAGAGGGTGTCGCGTGGTCAGCGCAACGGATCCCCACGGCCGTTAATCTCGGTTTTCTAGACCGGAGCCGCTATTTCCTTGAAATACCTCCTCAAATATCCTCACGAGGTTGAGTGGATACCGTTCCAGACCAACTACTTCTCAGAAAATCTGGTAGTGCCGGGAATCGAACCCGAGACCTCTGGTCTGTAGCCATGAACTCTCACCACTAAACCACAGAGGCGGTGTGGGAGAAGGAATACAAACAAACAAACGAAATGAAACGAAAAACAAAAGTGCGAAGGCACAAAGAAACACAATCGCTGTCTCTATGCAATCTTTCCTTTTAAATAAAAAATTCTGGCACATTTCTTGACTTATCGATGCGGTCCCGATTCCGACTCCCAGGATTGTAAAGGTTCGGCCACACATGTTCGCTACGTTCGCTACGTACGCTGTGTACACTCTGCGACGCAGCTAACATAGGGAACATAGCATACGGAAGTCTGTGTGGCCAGTCACACTGCCAATAAAGGGAGATATTTTTCTGTTCGCATAGCGAACATAGCGTACGTAGCGTGCGTCGCGTACGTAGCGCTCTGTGTGGCCGAACCTTAACTGTGTTAGTATCTAACAAGCTCGTCCCCAATAGTTTTAATCATAACGACCCATTTGCACTGAAATGGAGCTGGAAGTAATTACACAGAACTCGGTCAATAATTACATCGGAATGGTCATCCAGAAGGTCAACAGTTTAAGCAGATTAACCTCGTGGTTCATAAGCTGCAACTCGGACAATGAGTGGCGGCACAACTGGTCCTTAGTTCCCGCAGACAAGTTTCCACTGAGTTCGGCTGAACGCGAAACAGAGTTGCAGTTGAATATGCAGGATGTTTAATGAAGACCTGGCCGATTTCAAGCACCTGCATTCCTAATGCTACTTTAGATGTAGTAATAAATCAAGTGTCATGTGTTATATACAGCTTTAGATTTGGCGGTAAAGCAGTAGTTCTCCTTTCCGTCGCAGACTGGCGCTACATTCCACGAGTTAAACTAAATATACTTGAAACATGTCAGGTGTTTATGAAACATCCTTTAATACAGACATCCCGGGTCTGGTCAAGTGGGATTTGTGGTGGACAAAGTGGAGCTGGGGTGGGTTTTCTCCGAGTACTTTGGTTTTCCCATGCCAATCTTCATTCCACCAAATTCTCCATCATCAATATCACTCCGGGGCAGGTACAATAGGCCAATCAGTGGCCGCCGTGCCGAGTGGACCCAGTTAGACTCTACACCCCACTAAGCGAATTGAAAAATTTAACTTCGCCGACAAGCAGCGGTCGCTCGGTTAGTATAGTTCGCTTGCGGACTACAGGCTACGGAGATGAATACATATTCAACCACACCAGTCTAGTATTTGACCTCACCTGATAAAACTGAATAGGATGCATGGGAGGAGGGCATCTGTCCTCCATTAGATTTTTTAAAACAACAAAATAGAAAAAAGACGGAAATATGTCGCATATTAATAACAACTGGAGGTATCTTTAAATGTGAGGCCATCCACGTTTCGCTACAGAGACCCAGATCTGTGTGGCGCTATGCAACAACGTTCTAAAGCTACTTAAACGTAACACTGTAAGCAATTTTTTTTTGCTGCGCTCATGTTAAGATGTGACGACAATTAAGGACAGTTAAGTGGAAAAGATGAAGGATAATGAGGCGGTGACCTATCTAGGCACTGTCAGAACGAAATAAGGAAATATAAGGAACTCGGAAATGTACGATGTCTGAAGGAAGTCACGTGCCAGAAAGTCATTATTTAGCGAAACGGCAAGGCCGCGCCATAGCTCAAGCGGTTAGTCGCTGGCTTCCCACTGCGGCGGCCCGGGTTCGATCCCGGGGCCTGATCAAGTGGGATTTGTGGTGGACAAAGTGATGCTGGGGCAGGTTTTCTCTGAGTACTTCGGTTTCCCCTGCCAATCTTCATTCCGCCAATTGCTCCACAATCACCCTCACCTATCAACTGGGACTGGTACAATAGGCCAGAAGTGGCCGCAGTACAAGGGACTTAGCCTCACCCCACTAACAATAAAAAAAAATAGCGAAACGGCAGCACACTCTTACCTCATGAAATCGAATATGGAAACTGACAACCATACAAATGTTACAGATTCAGACAGTGACATGACCTCTGACAATAAGAAGGGAAACAACACTTATGTGTCTGGAAACCTGAATTTTGTATACATCCCGCAGACACTAAAGAACACTGGACTCTCCGAAACATGCGCCCTGTTAACTGTTGATAGTCACCGGTCGGGCCACTGTAACTGCAAACGTTGATCCTAGAGCTATACTTGGTTAATAGAAAAAGGTGAAGTTGTCCCTGTGCTTCGTCAATCAAGCACTACGTCACGAAGATATATTTGAGAGTGGAAGGGCATAAGAACGACTGGCGAAATAATGTTCACAATGAAAACTCGTTGTTCTTGGGAAAACGACATGTCTGTCACGCAATAAACAAAACTATACTGCAGACGTCGTATGACCGATACAAGACAGATGGCGTTTCTACTCGTTGTTAGTACTCATACAGTACCATCTAGCGGTAGGAGATATAATTATATTAACTGCAATACAATTTATAACAACTTTTAATTGCCCCCAGTCATTTTTCTCTACTTTCTTACATTTTCTTACGATATGTTAAAGAAATAGAATTGATAATTACTCTGATGCAAGATATCCTAATTTAAATCAAACTGGGAGCGGAAAGGAGACACCCTCGGCTTTTGGGAGTGTAAAGAGAGAAGAATATTACGAAACTGCACCAATGGACTTGTGAGTTCCGTATCTAGACTTTCACGCAGCATGCCTCACTCAACCTCTGCTTCCCTGCAGACACAAAGCGTTTCAGTATCAACGAATACTGTGAACAGTTATGTGGCTAAAGCCTCCCCCAAATTTATGAGCTAACATACTTTCTGTTTGCATTTGCTACGCACTGATAACTCAGTCGTTCCCGCACTGCTAAACAATCTTCCCAGCAACAGAAGAAGGTAACGTGATCTCCAGCTCTTAGGAAATCACAGTACTCGGAGCTCACCGAAAAAACTACGTCAAAGTCATAACGATAACTGTACTTCTTTGACATCATATTTATTTCCAGCAGGTTTCAAAGTTTACGACAATTCAGTATCTTTTTGTGTCAAGTGACTACTGTGCCCCTCTTACATAAACATTAATTACAGTCGGGGATTCCCGTTAAAATTACAAAGGCACATCAACAACTGCATGCACTATAGCCACAATCTGGCAACAACGCTACAAATATAATGTACCAGACCGCATATAATATATTTAAAACCGATTACGAATAATACAATGCATCAGGAGTAATACTGTATTAAATAAAAACATTTCTTTTACAACACATTTTCTCGAACAGACTTGTATTCGGGAGCTGCTCTGTTCGAATCTTGAATCTTGGCCGGGACACCTGATTTCCTAACTTATTTTCGTACTTTTCCTCAGTCCCGTCAGGCAAATTCCGGGACAGTACGTCGATTAGGCCACGATTGCTCTCTTGCCAAATCCTGTCCAATTCAGCCACCTTTCACCGTACCATTCGACCCTACATAGCATCCACAACCAGACTCGTGAAATGGACAGCAAAATAATCAACTGCCATTTTCTAATGACTTTGTTTTTTTTTTCTTAGCACTACAGCCCCAGTGCGCCTAGGCCTACCTCCATGAACTTCTCTCTTCATTTCGCTTTTCTAGATCTTACACATTCGGTAGGACTCCTTGGGCGGGTGATCACCTCGTCGCAAGGCCTCTACCTGTACACAAACACAGAAAAACGCACACACACAAACTAAACATCCATGCCCTGAACACACGATCCCGGTTTCCAAGCGAGCGAAGACAGTACATGCCTTAGACCGCTCGGCTACCGTGACCTATGCCTCAAAATATAACAGACTTCAATTAATTTACTTTCAATATTATTCTTAAACTGATATAATTTTGATTTTCTACATCATGTTCACTCACAAATCGCTTCCTCCTGAACACGTGTTGCGTAATTCATCGTATGTCAACAACGGCGTTTATACGAGCATATTTCAGTTGAGATAAACATGTACTGTACAGTCTGGTCCACAATAAAAACACTTGTTTTGATGTAACAGCGCATAACAATCTACTACAGGAATTCCGTTAAGCAACCACAGTTTTGTTTCTGTATCCAGTTTAGTCTACCGCGGTAGGCGGTTTCTTGCTTCTGCAGTTGCTAATTTGTATATACACGGAAAG